AGCACTGTAGTCCCAGCTACTTGGGAGTCTCAGACAACAGAATCACTTAAGCCCAAGAGTTTGAGGTTGCTGTGAGCTGTGACGCCATGGCACTCTACTGAGAGCAACATAGACTGTGTCTCAAAAAAAGAAAATAAGAAAAAGAAATTAACTGATAATACAACTTTGTTCAACTTTGTTGTTGTATTATAGATCATTACAAGGAACAACTCTGGTTACAATAACGAACACAATATATGTGATAATGGCGCAAATTTTAAGATCTCATCTAATAAATGCTTCAATGATTCCTAATCGAATGAAAATACTTCCATATGTTGGTGTCATTAGAAATAGAATGATGTCAACTCATACCTCCAAAAAGATCAGAGAATATTATAGGCTTCTGAATCTGGATGAAGGATGCTCTGCAGATGATGTCAGGGAATCTTTCCGTAAGCTTGCCAAGCAATACCATCCAGACAGTGGCTCTGATACCGCCAATTCTGCAACATTTATAAGGATTGAAGAAGCTTATAGAAAGGTGCTTTCCCACGTAATAGAACAAACAAATGCCAGACAGAATAAAATTGAAGAAGCAGAAGAAGAAGAAAAATTCAAATACAAAACACCTCAACATCGGCATTATTTAAGTTTTGAAGGTATTGGTTTTGGTACTCCAAGTCAGCGAGAGAAGCAGTATAGGCAATTTAGGGCAGACCGTGCAACTGAACAAGTGATGGAATATCAAAAACAGAAACTACACAGCCAGTATTTCACTGATAGTGTAACTGTTAAAGATGTAAGACAGAGCAAAGAACAAAAGATAACTCAAGCTATAGAGCGTTTAGTGGAGGACCTTATTCAAGAATCAATGGCAAAAGGAGACTTTGACAATCTCAGTGGGAAAGGAAAACCTCTAAAAAAGTTTTCTGGCTGTTCCTATATTGATCCTATGACTCATAACCTGAATAGAATATTGATAGATAATGGATACCAGCCAGAATGGATTCTAATGCAAAAGGAAATAAAGGATACTATTGAACAACTCCGAGAGGCAATTTTAGTGTCTAGGAAAAAACTTGGGAATCCAATGACACCAGTGGAACAGAAACAGTGGGACCAAATTTGTGAGCAGTTTCAAGAAAACATCAGAACACTAAATAAGCGAATTAATGATTTTAATTTAATTGTTCCCATCCTGACCAGGCAAAAAGTCCATTTTGATGCACAGAAAGAAATTATTAGAGCTCAGAAAATATATGAGACTCTTATAAAACCAAAAGAAATCTCAGATAAAAACCCAAATAACGTTGATCAAGGAGAAGATAAAACACCTGGAGTCAAGACAGGTTTTTTTAATTGGATGCATCTGTGGAAATTTATTAAACTATGATCATTTTGATGTCCACTATCACAGTACTGCCCAAGTTATTTTCAGTTCCAGTGATATCTGACACAGAAGCTGAGAATTTAATAACTGTGTGCATTTGTAGTTTTCACAAAACAAATCACATCCCAGTAATGTGTGAGTGAAAAAGCTATCAGGTTTGCTCTGAACATGAGAAGAGAATTTGCTTCTGAAGACAACAATTTAATCATCTCAGAGTTTAAATGTCAATTATCAGGTGAAATGAGCTAGAACTGGGTCTTAGACTTGGGAATCATACAGGATATTCCAAAAGTCTTAATGCAGGTTTACATTCTATTAAATTAAAAGTAGTTACTGTTTGCCATTTTTAGACATAGGTACTTAATGACAACAGAACATAAAAGTGTGGGCAGCGCCTGTGACTCAGTGAGTAGGGCGCCAGCCCCATATACTGAGGGTGGTGGGTTCAACCCAGGCCCCAGCCAAACTGCAACAAAAAAATAGCCAGGCGTTGTGGCGGGTGCCTATAGTCCCAGCTACTCGGGAGGCTGAGGCAGAGAATTGCCTAAGCCCAAGAGCTGGAGGTTGGGGTGAGCTGTGATGACAGCACTCTACTGAGGGTGACAAAGTGAGATTCTGTCTCTTAAAAAAAAAAAAAAAAAAAAGTTTTATCAGAGCCAGGTGCAGTGGCTCATTCCTATAATCCCAACACTTTGGGAGGGTGAAGCAAGAGAATTGCTTCAGGCCAGGAATTAGCCTGGGCAACACAGTGAGACCCTCATCTCTATGAAAAAATAAAAAATACATATTAGTTGGGCATGGTGGCACATGTCTATAGTCCTAGCTACTCTAGAGGTTGAGGTGAAGGATTGCTTGAACCCAGGAATTCAAGGTTACATTGAGCTATGATTACTTACCTGTCCTCCAGCCCAGATAACAGAGCAAGACCCTGTCTTTAATATATATATTTTATATATAGCCAGGCGTTGTGGTGGGTACGTGTAGTCCCAGCTACTCTGGAGGCTGAGGCAAGAGAATTGCCTAAGCCCAAGAGCTGGAGGTTGCTGTGAGCTGTGATGCTGCAGCACTCTACTAAGGGCAACATAGTGAGACTCTGTCTCTAAAAAATATATATATATTTATATATATACAAATTTTATACAAATATGTAAAAATATACAAAAACAACACATCATTTGGAGGTTTACTTATTTTTGGTTTTTTTTGTTTTTTTCCAGAGTCTCACTTTGTTGTCCTCGGTAGAGTGCTGTGGTGTCACAGCTCACAGCAACCTCCAGCTCTTAGACTTAATTGATTCTCTTGCCTCACCTCCTGAGTAGCTGGAACCACAGGCACCTGCCACAACACTCAGCAATTCTTTGTTGCAGTTTGGCTAGAGCCAGGTTTGAACCCAACACCCAACACCCTCAGTATATGGGGCCGGCGCCCTACTCACTGAGCCACAGGCACTGCCCCTGGGGGTTTACTTACACTTCTCTTCTCCAGTTTTGTGATTTCCAATTTTATATATATATATATATATATATATTAAATACATATAAATATTTCCAATTATATATAATTGCATTGCAGCAACATATATATAATTGGAAATATATATATTTAATATTTATATATATGTAAAATTGAAAATCACAAAACTGGAGAAGTATAATGAAAACTAAACCTCCAAATGTGTTTTTTGCAAGTTCGCTACATTTATACTCCTGAGCTTATTAAAGCCAAAACTGTTCTAAGATTTTTGGGCACCTTCTATTTGGGTAGAAATATTAAGAAATTAACACTTGAAAATCTTAAAAAATTAAGAAATACTAAGAAAAAGAAATTAACCTACTGGAGTTACTGCACCTGAACTTAACCCTCCTGATCCCCAAGTGTGACCCCTCTATTGAATCTAAACTTCACAGAGTGAAGAAGATTTGTTTTGTAAAGTTTGGATTCAGTCAATAGACCACTCTAAAGGATCCAGAAGGCCACATAAAGGCCCACCCTTTTGTGATTTATTGGCTGCAGAAATCAATCAAACTAGTTGATGCATCAATTCTAGAAATAGACTCCATTGTCCACTTTTAAAGAGTTTGTATTTTTCTAATCTTACAGAAGTGACAAAAAAATCCTTGGGAACATAAGAGTTCACTTTTAGCTTCATCTCTAATCAGAGATTGAAATGTTATGTTTCCATAAATCTACCTTGAGCGTCTCTCTATGTCTTCAGTCCGACTCCTCCAATGCTTTTCAGTGATCCGAAAATCCTAACTTACTGTCTTAGGGATCCTTTAGTAAACAAAGACAAGATCCCTGAATTTTGTGTATCTGCATCCTTGGCAAATGACAAGAGATTGACATTCATGAGATTGTGCCCCATCCACTTTCAGACAGTCTGACATGTTTAAGTTTGGATAATTGCTCTCAGCATAGAAGTATAACTAGAAGGATGTGGAGTGTGGTCAAAAGAGCCAAAGTGTTTCCTTTTTTTTTTTTTTT